AATTTACTGCTGTTCTACGAAGAGATTATACTTGTGTGAAGTTAATATTTCTTTTTTATAATAATGTAAAAATAGTGCAATATGTAAAAGTTTTATTATCATTTTAATCAACAGAGATTTAGTTATTACTTCAGACATAAAACTGATTTTATTATTAATTAAATCTGTAATTTAAGTATAAAAATTTTATTATGTCTTGTTATAACAAACATAAATTGAATTTAATTAATTACTTTGTTTTCTATAGATAACTTTTAAGTACAAGTTTGAATAATCGTAACAAATGGAGAAAAATTATATTAAATTAGAGTATTATTAACATTTTTCCCAAAACAGCAGGTAACATATTAAAATAAATTAATATTAAGTAAAAATGGAAGCTTTATAAAACTCGTTCTCATTTTATTTACGGCTTATGAAAAGTTTCCATGATAATTCGTTGACTTGTTATGAGCATATTAAATTTTAATATTGAAAATTACGAAAATTAAATTGACCTGAAAAGCTTAAGAGCCATAATAGAAAGTGAAAAATTTCCTTTTGTAAAAACTTACGAGTTTTCTCGCATGGGTAGAATATTTTTTATTATTACTTTTTTTTAATGTTTAATTTAATTTGAAATTAAACTTATTAATATCAAATCAACCTTTATTTACGCAAATTGTTGCTTTGATTATTGTTTTTTAAAATTATATTAAAATATTTTTAAAAATAATTCATTCATAAACATCAATAAATATTTAATAATTATTAATATTAAAAAATTTTGTTCAATGAATGATTTAATTTAAGAGGAAATAATAATAATAATAATATTGCTACTATTTTAATTGTAATTGCTATTATTATTACTATTATAAATTTCTCCATATCACGAGACTAAAGAGTCCTCACACAATACAAAGTAAAGAACACTGAAATCGTTGTAGACTATATTCTACCACTAGGAAACGTTTTATATAACACCTATGGGTGTTATATAAAACGTTTCCTAGCAGTTGAGATCATATACATCAAATAAAGCTGGAGCAAATATAACATAACACATTCACATTCGTAACATAGACTAACCTAATTAGTATAAATTGAAATATACGTAACGACAAGTTGAGATTATATTACAAAGCACATGAAATTTGTCTCTCAGAGTTAACATTGAATTGACAAAAATTTAATTCAAAAATTCTAAAGATTCTATAGGTAAATAAATATATATATATTTTCATCATCAAGAAAGAAAGCATCTCGTTGTGAAGGTTATTATTTTAAACAAAAAAATGTGTTAAAACTTGACACATAAAAAATACAATCGACATATCTTTTTTAATTTTTCTTAGATATACTCGAGAAACTCTTATCACGGGCTATTTTACATTCGTCCCTTTTAAGTCGAAATCATTTAAATAAAGACTCTAAAGAAAAAAAAAATATAAAATTGTAAAAAGCCGGAGGGGTAAACCCAGACATGAGAACAAATACGAGAAGCCTCACGAACGGACAACCATTCAATCTCTGGGGTTGAAAGAGAGTTTAAAAAAAAAGTAAAAACAGAAGATATGTAAAATAAAAAGGACTTGAGAAAATCGTGGAAGTAGTTTTATCCATTCAAGACTTATATTCCAATCCAGAGAACCTTATGTCCTCCGTAAATTTAAGCCGAACACCATGTGTACGTATGGAAAGGTTCAATAAAATCTTTCCGACTATCCTTGGATCAATGATAAAATTATATTTTATTACTTTCTCAATTTGCAAGTGAAATCCAAATAAGTTGTTTTACTATGAATTAAGTATTTTTATCAATATTTTATTGTTTATACTGCTATTTTTGTTTAAGATGTTTGATGAAGTTATAGGAAAAATGATATTGAACACAAGTGAAATCATCTAAATATATAATTCACATAATAATCTTATGCTTTTCTAAAATTATCCTTTGTTTTACTTTAAGTTCTTCAAGAGTCTTGACGATAAGAGAACATGAAACATACTGAAATATTCAGCGAAAACAAGACACTCCAATATTCTTGTCAGTATAAATTCATGAAAGAATCAAAACAAAACTCTTTCTTTACATAAAAGAAAAGATAAATTCAATAATAATCAAATATAGATCTGGACTTGCTTTATCTCCTAACAACGAACTTCCCATTTACTAAAATCCATAATTTTGTCGTCTTTTAATTGTTTTTTATAATGAATTGCTGTTGTTATAAACAGTATACAATTGTTTAATCATATAAATTTATTTATATAAAAATTGTATTAATTTTTATCGAATGAAAACCTGATATATGTTTTGAAACCTTCCACTATGCTTTTAAATGTCTCAAAACGTAAAGATATGATAGAAATACGAATTTAAAAAAGTAATTAATTATTTTTTATAAAACTTATGCATGTATATCTTTTTGTTGTTCATTTCAATGGTTTATTACTTCTAAGAAAGGAAGCCTAACATCTGTATACAGACTCGTAAATAATTGTCTTGTAAAAAATCCAAGTAAAAGCACTCAATAACTATCAAAGAAATTTAATAAGGATTCTTTGAATGAACTTTTATATATTTAAAGGCTTCACATTTGATAGGAGCGAGGAGTTGTATTTTATTAGATACGTTCGTTAAGCGGAGGAAACTAAATTAAATGTGAAATTCGATTGACTTTGATTCAATTAGTTGCGATGTCTGACCATGCATAAGCTGTACTACTTGTTTAGTTCAGATAGCGATAACGCTACTACGTAGACATAAAGACATTTATTAAATGAATAATGTAAAATAAAATTGAGAATTTTATTCACAAAATCTGAATATTTATATTATTATTATTATTTTATTTTATTCACTTATAATTTAGTATTTATTTCTATCTCATTATCCCTTTACAGATGTCAATCAATAGATCTTATTAATGAGTATTGTATTTTTATTTTTAATAACCTGAGTTTAATTCAAAGAAGTTATTTATTTAATCTGATCCTCTTCAGAAGTCCTGAATAAGGCCTACTTAATTTTTGAGACAATTCACCTAAGTACTCCAAGTACCTTATTACTACCCTCCAATCACCCAGGTCCTTTTTTATTTTCTGGAACTGAATGTATTATAAGGGCCTTAAAAATAAAGTAACCCATCTTTGGGACCCCGAAATATGCATCAATTGAAATTGTTGCCTGAAATGAGAATCAGATACAGCAATTTGTACAGTAATTTTATTCAGAAGATTCTTTCAAAAGGTATCCCCTGAATCTAATTATCTTCTTTCCTCTTTATCACACATATTATGTAATTATCTTGAATTATATAACCTTGATAACATAATTATCTCCTTGTCAATATTACTGTCACATTAATCCTGTGATTAAGATATTAAAATATGATAAATTCAATAACTACAACTTTGACATTAATAATGAATTAGTGCTCTATTTTGCCAATGTTTGAAAGTCGAAGGCATCAAATATATTTGAATAATTGATGAGAATAAAAATTAAACCAGGTAAGTATGATTTATTCAAGAAACATTGAAATATTAACTTAATTGAGTGTAAAGATGCAATTATATAATCATAAACGACCCAGAGATAAGAAATCAATGACCGAATATCATAGTTAATTTTCTACTTTATAAATTCAATCATAAAATCGTCTGTATTTATTTTTACTTTCGTTAAAAAATAATTAGTCAACGATTTAGCAATGATGAATAAAACTTTAAGACCATCTTGTGTTTAATTTTTGAAGCCAATACAGCTATTTATTGATACCAGTATCAACTTCCTTCATGATTAAACTCATCAGAAGATAGCTGATGTATTGATTGTTAATTATTTATAAATAATATACAAGGATATTCAGACAAAAAAAAACTACCGGATATTGTACAATCACAATTGAACGTGTCTTTTACTATTGTCGACAGAGAATTAAAAATTGTGACGTGGGTGGAATGAAATTTTCGTACCCGTCGGATGAACGTAAATGTCAACGGAAAGACATAAAAGGTCTTTCGTGCGACTTGCTATACATCCTGGCACTTCTATTCTATTGTAGAACGCTTCTTCAGATCGATTAATGTATAACTATATATATATATAAATAGATAACAGCAGTCTCTTGAGATACACTACGTCTTCTATAAATTTAAACTTATAAAAAGGAACATCAAGTGAAATATAAAAATAGATTCTTTGAACATAATAATAGCAATATATGTTTTATGTATGAATCATACACTACTTTGATAATAACTCATTCAAGTTCCGGCTTAGAAACTCAACGATTTTTATCTGATTATTTTATTATTAAAATTGTAAAAATTACTAATTATTAATTAAAAATAAAATTAAACTTATTTTTTACATTGAGAAAAAAATTCTTTGCTTTTGAAAATATATTTTAATATTTATAGATTTAAATGCAAATGACATTAGATTAATTCTTATTATTAATTAATTCTCTTGCAACTATTCAAAATTTTTATTTTATTAATTAAAAAAAAAATTACGTATTAACAATTAATTTTTTTCTAAGTGTATTTATAATATTATTTAAGCATTGCATATTGGAAGCTTTAGAGTATATTTTACTAAAAAAAAAAACCTTTCAAGTTTTTTTTTTTTTTTAATATATTCATTAGAATTTAATAAAAAGTGTGGATATTTTTTTAATTAAAATATTTTTATGATAACAAGATTAAAAGAATTAAGTGGTTATTGAAGGGTTGCATAAAACAATACAACAAAAAATTTTAATTAACCTATTAAAAATGATATGAAGGCTTGACGATAGATTAAAATAAATTTGATGGAATTTTATCATAAGCAGATCCCCTCACTTGACCTGATATTAATCAAATAATAAAAGTTTATCGATATCTTTAAACAACATCAAAAAGAGAGATGATAATAATCGTATTATATCCAAAAGACATAACGGAAAAAGCTTTACTCAGTGATTCCATTAGCGATGCTCAACTTTATCATTTGAGTGAAGACTTACCTTTTTTTTCATCAAGATAGCTCGAGTCCGCCTGAGTACGACGCCACGAACACAGAACAGTGGAGATCAGCAATAGAACGCTGAAAATAATTGTTTTATTATTAGTATTATTACCATTACATTAAGAAATAAGTTTGAGAAAGGAAGTAAATGCAGAATGGTACCAACTAAACTCATTAGTGTAGTAAGAGGTAACCGCTTGGTAAACGAACGATTAAAAGGAACGAAGGTAAGGCAAAAGAACTATACATTCAAGCCATTTAGATAACGCAAAATAGTAGAAATTCTACGTGATCTTAAAATTTCTTACAAAAATCAGAAATCGTGCTTGCTAATCGAAGTTTCCGTAGTGTTTGAAAAACTGAAGTAAAAAAAACAAGCACAATCTCACAGTAATCGCGACTACAACGAGAATCCCAAGACGCATTAAAACACACGAGGCATCATTGATCTTTGAAAACGAATGTTCGATTCGAGGGGATTATGAGGTATCTTACCCTCTTGGGTTTATCGCTGTGTCCCGTTGGATTTATGTATGGAATCGTTTTATCCCGCAGCTATAGAACACGCGAAAAATCAAATAAAATGCTCCACAAGAAATGTGATTTAAAAAATCGTTGGAATAATCTTGGTTATTATTGTTTTATTTAGGATAATGATCAGGGTCAGGTTCCCATGATTGATAAAAAATACTCTTCATCAAATCAACTCTTGATTAATAAAACTAATTGTAAGAAAAACAAACTTGTAGTCAAAGTAAAAATAAATCTGGGATCAACATAAATGATTCTATCTGATAGACTTGATCAATCATTCCACAAGTATCACTGGCCTGATATATTTTTGAATCAGTTAATAATAAACAATTAGATAATAAGTAATTTGATGGAAACCTAAATTGAGACCAGTGCCCTAGTGGGAAGCAAGAATGGCTCATTTCTGGTTTAACATTGGAGCAAGGTTGGAGATGTTGGATCAGTAATGTGCTAATCTTGCTTCCTATTAAAGTGTTTCTAAAAGTAATCATGCTCTATAGAAGTAATAGTTATTTTCTAAACTATTACTTAACTTATTATTTCTTTTTAACTAATTAAATTCTTTTTGTAAATCAATAATTACTTTGTAGAGTATTCAATTTATTAAGGTAGTTCCTTGTCTTTATGAAGAGGTTTGATAATCTAGACTTTTACTTCAAAACTATTTAATATTATAGTTTAATATATTTTCATTTTGTCAACCTTATATCTAAGTCTAGTGACTATAGTTGCACTAGAGTGTGCTAATTTTAATTAATGATTGCTAGATGAGATAAAGTTTCACTTATAGAAAATAAAATTACAACTCAAGTTTTGTCATAAAACATACCAACTTATTTAACAAATATGTATTATTGTTAGTTTTTATTTTGATTAATGAAAAGTGTTAATGGCCTACTGACAGATTTATTATTTAAAAAAAAAACACATGAAAAGAGTTATGAACTCTCATGTGAAATATTGATTCTAGTTGTCTGATCTACACACAATTTTCACATCAAATAATAATAATGATGAAATACTTCTTAGTTTTGTGAGGGACTTTTTTACAGCATTTTTATGGTAAAGTGACGATAAAACAATAGACAATTTATCTCTTTATGATTATAAAAACAATAAAAAGAAGAATAGCGAAAAAAAGATATGCAAAGACAGTAAGATCTTAAGGTTATCGGTCGTGGAACAAAGTTTAAACGTCACCATCAACAAATAGAACAATACAGAATATCTTTATAAAGTTTGACGACACTCTGGAAAGCTTATAAAAAAAATAGTTTTCATACTTTTGGATAATACTACTTTCATAAGTAAAGGTACACAATTTCTGGAAAATACTTTCATGACATTACTGTGGGTGGAATCTGCCACGTACTACACAACTATGCTATCTACATAAACTGCAATGTTATAGATCATGTCATTTGCTGATAATTTTATAAATATATATATACTATCAAAATCATTATAAAGCTGTTGTTGAATCACGAGTCATCATATCAATTCTAAACCTAAAGTAAATGATCTAGAGCTTTTACTTTTATTATTAAATAATAAAAAATTTAAATGTATAAACATTTATGGTATTTAATTGAATAATGACTTATTGAAAGTTTGGTATATAATAATCACTTTTAATCATCATAATAAATCAATTACATAATATTCAATTAGCATCAAAATTAAAAGATCAATCTCATCAACATCATCATTGATGTTTGTTTTCTTATGAAATTAATTTTATTTGTTAACAATTTAATGATCAGATTAAATAATTTGATAGATAGAATTCCAACTTACTACTTTTTAAAAAACTTTATTTGATTATATTGTAATTATTAATTATCTATTAATGTACTATTAATTATCATATATTTCTGTGTGTACAGAGTTGTATGTATTGATTGCAATAGTAGTAAAACGATGGAATCGCTATCTCAATAAATATTATTGGCCCCTTTATAATAATTATTCCATCACAATAATGTAAGTCAATGACTATTTCAAGTCAAGTTTTACCAAATCCGCGATAAATTCTCGGAAGCGTGACTCAGTATTGAAATCAAGCTTGGCAATCGTCCACGCATTTCTGATGTACGTAATCGTGTATAAATATATCTACATTGTCATTTGTACTTCATATTATGAATAACATGACCATATTTTATTTTATTTCATTTAATATAAGACCAGTTACGCATTTTGTATAGCATTCAAATGGATTCATTTATTAATTAACAATTGAAATTATAACAATTGTTTCTCAAGACGTAAGAGAAATCATTTTCATTATATATTTTTCAGCTATGTCTGTAGAATTACATGGATAACATAGCAGTGGAAGGTGGAAGTTCTGAATTTTTTTTAGGACGTTGGCTAAAAATAGAAAAATAACAAGCAGTGTATAAGTGTGATCTGGATCACATTGGAGTGTATGCTAAGATCTTCCTGATTCTTTCTACACTTTTTTTTTTTGTACTTCTGAAAAGCAAACTGATTGAGTCTTTTAAATTGAAAACGAGACACATTGATTGCATAATTTTATCATCAGATATTGCTAGTGTTTTCGCTAAAGAGTGACTGACTTCAGAATCTAATGAATTGAGAGAAGAATGATGACTACGTAGGAAGGGAAAGTTTACCAAGAATTTATTTGATAAACTCTGGAGATATATGATTTCTTCGAAGATCAGCTTGATTCAATATATTTAAATGAATTTTAAAACCTGTTCAACCTCGAGAATTAGGAATTGGCGAAAAAATGGTGATTCCAGGAGCTAATGTATAGTTGAAATATTCTTTCAACACTTGGTGGATACAAAATTCTAGCTGGATGTAATCCTAGACATTCTATTTTTTATTCGTGTTTTTAAATAAACAAAGTTCTAAGTACATAAAGCAATTTAAACCGAGCTAAAAAATTTTTCTTCCAATAAAAAGTTGTTTAATTCAAATCATCTAGCTTAAATACATACAGAAGAATGATTTGAGTCAAGGATTTTTTTTTTTTGACACATCATTATCCTCAATTATACTACAAGTGTGATTTTTTATATATTCAAGAATTATTCAACAAAAAAAGTATTTGTTTTCTATTAAATATTGTTTAAATCAACATATTTTTCTTTGCTACTTTGATAATCTGTAATGTTTTTTTGTGTGTGTATTGTTAAAAGTGTTTTGCTAGCAAATCTTTAAAAATGGCCACAAAGTAGAGATAATAATATATAAAATTTTTCATAGCTATGTTTCTATTTGTCATCCACTCCCATAAATTTTTCACAAGATTGTTATGTATGCTATGAGGTCAGGGCCTAGATATATTATGCTGTATGTCTCGACAGTTACTCTCATCTGTTGGAGGTCAGATGTTCAAACATTCTTATATAGTACTTCCTTTGAAAGTAAAGCTCATTACCACTGTCATTATGATCTACTTTACAACCTATTTGAGGTTTTTATTCTCAATTCTTTCTTACAAATTGATATTTAATCTTTAAAAAATTCTTTAACACTTATCAACCTTCATCATTCGACAATCATATGCCTGACATGTTGGCAATTTATGTAAAATTTCAAAATTTATTCATAGTTATTCAGCAATATAAACACCCTAGGTAATAATTTTACCAACACATAATTTACAGTGAAGCTAAAATGATCGTTAACAAATACTGTGCAATAAATTGATGATTAAAAAGCTTTTTCATTTAATTGAGCTTGATTAGTGATGTTATTTGGCTATTCAGTAGTTGAAGCCATTGGCGGTGATTATCAAAGTGGTAAACACGCGAGTTAGCGGACGATCTCGGTGCACAAGTCCTTAGAGGATCATAAATATTTGGAAACTACGGGGGATTCGTAATTACAGCTTTGGTACTAGAATGCGTAACAATAATTTCGTTTTATTGGTCCTCATAGACGTATTGATGAACACAATATGGTGTGCATTAACATGAATATATACATATAGGCTTGTCTTTATTCTAAATGGAAAGTATATCTTTAAATGACAACCATCAATTCTTCATGACCTCATAGGAACATATCGATTGTTATATCATTGATAACAGTCAAGAGAAAGGAAAGTGTTTTGGTTTGGTAATATTTATGATAGCATTGTTACTACTCAAGCTTGATATTGAGACTTGATTTTTCAAGTTTAGACATGGGCTATTAATTTATAGACTTTTGATGTTGGCAAGGTTTCTTGAGAATAAATGTGTTGAGCTAATTTGAAAGGACAGTTGTGGTTGTGGTGATGAGTATTAACATTCAAAACAATTTAGGATAATAATGAAAGTATATAAAACATGCCATTTTCGTTAAACGTACTGTCAACGAATGAATGACTTGTTGATAAGTGCTTTCAATTTAAAATTCATAGTAGGAATAATATATGGGTTCTGTTGCAGAGGAAAGCTGTTAATTTCTACGACGCTTGAACTAATCCAAATTGAACTTACTCGTTTTGTACAACCGACATCAATTTACATATGCCCGCCCCTTTGAATCCGCCACTCAATCTCTCAAAACATTCATACGCTAACACAAACGTAAATTGTATTGGATAAACTTACAAGTTTACAATTAAATTCAAACCTAGCCTCTCACATTTATCATTAAGAAATTTATTAGACTGCTAATTTAATAGACTATGATTAAAGAATATAGTGCAGTTAAGTTCATCAATATTTCTTCTGAAATATCAAGAGCTAAATAATTTGTTGGGTTTTTATCCTTTGTCACCAAAGTCGGTTTATACTTCTTTTTTTGGAATTCATTTCTTTCAACTTATCTGATCTACACTGACAGAATTGTTAAGTAAAAATTACCATAGTAGTTTAGGTAAATTGGCAACAAGCCACAAGTTGTAATAAAAATTGCCTAAAACCTATGGCAAAAATTATTTCAAGTTTTATTAGAACTCATAGCTTGACCCTGGTTCATCCAAGTTGCTATGATAATTTATACTTAACAATTGTTTCAATACAAATATAAAATCTATCCATTATAAAAAAGTCTACAGTAGTTTAAATATTAATTCACTAAAAATAAAATAAAATATAAAGAATCAAGTAAGTCCAAAGAGCTAGACATTCTCTATAAATCCAAAAGGTGTAAAATATAAAATAACACTCATGAATTGTGATCTTAGCTAAATGGCTGAAACAAACCCATAGTCTTGGAATCATTTTTCACTTACTTCCAAGAGTATTAAAATTGATAGTTTGTTTATGGAAATTTGACGTCAAACACATTTCATGTATGTTGTTTTACCACACTTTAGACATCTTAAATTCACAATGTTTTCAAAAATGTTTTCAGTAAGATTTCAACTTCTTTTAAATACTAGAATTTTAAAGAAAGTAATACCTAAAAATAAATGAAGACATGATGATTAAGTATGATATTTAAATTTAAATCTAAATATTTAGTAACTTAATATATCATGAAAATGCATTAACTGTAACATTAAATGCACTACGTCCACATAGATTCTGTTAAATTGAGTTTTATAAAGTTGAATATAGTGGATAATTACGTTAGCCAGTAAAAGAGATCATTTTTTCTCAAAAAACTTTTTAAATCCATTTTTTTGGTTCACCTATACAGATTACGTCCTTTCAACTTCAATCTAACATAAAAATAATTAAAAAGTACAAAAAATGGAACTCTTCAAAAAATAATTAATTAAATTAAAAAAGATTATTTGTTTGTGTATTTTTAAAGTCAAAAAGTTAAAAAAATGTTCACAATTACTCTTCTAGCTTTTACTTTATAAGCTAATAATGATGTAATCGACTTTTTTTTGGTTCGTTTAGTTGTTTATTGTACAAATCCGATACAGAACATTTAACAGATGAAAGTTCCAGCTGATGCACTTCTCTGAACCTGCCGGATGTTAAAATACGAACGAAATTTCAGAGAAATGTGAAAAGCAAACGAAGTACGAGTACATAAAAGTTGCAACTGGCGTCAAAGCGGAACCACACGTGTCACCAATGTCACGAAAATCTTTTGAAATGTCGTTAAATATCGAATGTAAATCTAGAGAAAACAGTTGCTAAATTGAAAACTAAGATAAATGACATAACAAAAGTTAACATAATTGGTTTTGCTTGCTACTACAACTGCTAAATACTTTTAGTAATACCGATCTACAAAATCGAACACATTCAGTTGTCGATATTTCTAAAAATTAAATAATAAAATCAAATAAAAAGTTTATCCTGAGAAAGTAAAAAAAAAATACCCTTATTTTTTTATTATTTAATATTTTAGATGAACAGAATTTTTTATAAAATAATAATAATAAACAACTTCGAAAGCTGTTATTTATTATTGAGGAAATAAGTAGCAGGGTTGTCACGCCTTGTTCATGAGTAGATGTGTATTACTCGACTGACTGGCTGCCTACAAGAGCTGAATGATTTTCAATAACTACTTTACATTAATTGAAAATTAAATGAATTGAGTCTCTAGACCGAAGAAAAATGAATCAAGTCTATAGAAATAAGGATGTTAAGTATATAAGTACACAGGTACTTGGGCCTATATTTTTTTTATCGATAATACCGTAAACAATATCTTGTTATGATTTAAGACAAATTGAAAGCATTTTAAATATTAATGAAATGGACTTGACAAAGCTGAGACGTTTAATTAGATTTAAACAAGCATGGCTTATATAATAATACTCTTAAATTCTCTCATGCATAAAAAATCTAATTAGTCATTATAAAGTTTAATAAACAGTGTAATACAATCATTAAATCAGCTAAATAACTCTTCTACTCAATACTTTCAATTTATTATATTTATCGATTAGTTAAATTTTTTTTTCTAAATTATTATCAATAATTTATAGCACAATATCGATAATAAATTTATTGTATTATTTCTTTATTTATTTCAATTTGAAGGAAAAGATTTTAAAATTTTGCAAGATTGAGTAAAAAAAAAAGCTAATAAATTGAAAATGAAATTATTTTTAGAATTATACATTGATTGGGTATTTTAAGGAGTAGTGATCGAATATGATACGCAACCAATGCGTTGATTACAGGGGTAAGTTTTAAATACTGATAATGATCAATTAAAATTAACTACTTTCAAGAGTCCCTATTAAACTTTTAACATTTGCATTAATTATAGACAATTAAAAGTTTAAATCAACAGCTTAATAAGAATTTAGATTATTTTATTTCACGATAGTTGATGGATATTTACTTAGTAATGTTCAATAGTTATTCATGATAATGATTTTGTAATCACAGATATAAAATTTGTTTTATTAAATTCAATTAAAACCCTTAAATCAACAAGCTTTTTAATGATAAATAAATTATTATACTGATCCAAGTCTTTCCATTATGAATAATCTTAATTATTCCATTTATTACATTACTCATTGAGACAATTTTTTAAAATGCTGGTATAATCTTTCATCGAATCAAAAAAATTCTGTCATCATTAGTCATTTGATCTTACCACTGTGAGATCTGATTAGCGCAAGTTTTTTCTTTCAAAAAAAAGTTAATAGAGTAAAAAAGTCTTAATCCCCATGAAGATTAAAAGGAAACAATAAAATGAGATAAATTATCTGGTTTTATATAATGCTGACATTTCATTCAGATCATCTTAATATGTAAATAATAAAATAATAATAACCAGATTATTTTACGTATTAATAATGAATAGAACTATGTAAAAAATTTGCAAAACTTACATTGGAAGCTGCATGGTTGTTGAACTGTTGATGTGAATTGCAAACAAGTTTCAATCAAGTAAACACAGCACTAATCTGTATATACACCTTATAAGAGTTGTCTGTCAACTTAAACCTTTCATATATTTCTTTGTATACACATATACATATGTACGCCACTCAGAATTCTTTTTTACTGTCCGTAGAGGTCGCAGTCGCTAAAATGCTTACATCAATTCCTCTCTCGGTCTCACTCGTGAGGTCAATGAACAAATTCAGTAAACCGCGTAATCAACCATGAAAAATTGGCGATCTTGACGTTGCTCACATACGTTCATATTTCATCCAAGCACAGAAGTAATATGATATCCACTAGAAAGTTCTAATGATTCTTGAATGATGATTAGAAGAAATGAGATCATTTCATTAGGTCATTTATTTGTTTTCTTGCTAATTATTGTCTTTAAAATGGAGTCACATTGCCACGTTATCACCCAATGATTATGATAGCTAAATATTTTACTCCCGATTACGCCACTTTCTAGTTATTCCACGGGTGGCGCCTTCTTATTGACAAGGTCAGTCCTTTCAACTCAAGGTCGATCGATTACTTCTTTTAATCAATAATAATATTGATTAATCAATTCAATCATATGATCCAACCATTACCATTATTACCATGATCATCTTCATTCATTTATCGTCTTTTTATTCTCCTCCAGATAACTTTACTCCGTGGATCAATTATTTTTAATCTCCATCAACACCATAAGTCTTCTGAATTATTGACACATTAGTGGTATTTAAAAATCATCCAAGAATATCTTCGTCGTGTTAATTATATTCTGTTAAATTTCATCAATCTTCCGGTGACTTTATTGTTTTGAAATCTTTTTCATCACGTATTTCTGGTACCAGTTGAATAAAAATGTGAACTTATGATTCTCCGGTAGTAATAAAACGTTTTTTTTTAGCTTTCGCCGCTGTGATGAAGTAGAATGATGTACACAACTGAAAGCCGGTATCATGCGTGATTTTCTAGGCGGTTGATTTAAATTTGGCTCGCGCACGTGGTGGCAACGGCGTCATACCCACGACTGCCGGCATACTGACGTTGAACGCCGGGTTGAGCGTCCCCATCTCGCGGTTGTCCCACCAACTCTACGTTGCAATACTGTGTGTGCAACATAATTGTCTTGCCCCCTGCAACGAAAAAAAATAACATGAAAATTAATCTGTAACAATTAGGTGTCAGTATTAATTTTTTTAATGATTGGTTAATTGTCATCAACAATGAATAAATTGTATTAAAGTTTCTGACATCGATTCTTTAATATAACTTCATTTATTTCAGCTGTAAAAAATAAATAAGCTCCAATTATGCAAATTTGTATGTTTGATTTTTTGATTTTTATACAAAGAAATTGATACCACGTCATGGTAATTCGTAATGGACGCGTGGAAACAATGAATTGGTCATGGGTCGACAGGCGTGCAATGACTGGGTTAATAATAATGTATTTATATTTCTATCGATGAGATCCTTGAGAATGTAAAAGTCTTAAGAGAAAAAATATAGAACAAAGTCATTAAATAAATTTGCAACTTAAGTTTTAAAAGAATCGATCAGGTTGACAAACTTTTCTTAATGAGTCTCTTGGCGGATGTTGCTAATCTCGAGTAGAATTTCCAACTTTCCAAAGTCACTTTTATGAACAGATCATTTAAATTATAGGTATAAGCATACAGATGACTGTAATTATGTTTATATTTGATTAAATTCTTTAAATCAACATCTAAAAGTCTTTGAAAGGTCAGTAGAAAGGATTTCAATGGAAATGAATTCATAGAAAATAAGCGAAAATACTTTGATCAAAAAATCATTAACATAAAATTCGTGCATGTAATTATAACAGGTAAACATTTGTGTACAATACAACGAGTGGAATAATTTAGTTTTATCATTGATTATGCATGCTTTGAGCATTAGATTCAATCAATAGAGAAACTTGGAGTGAGCTAGATCGTATTCAATGCACTAAACTACGAGGATTGAATAAAAACCGCGGGAAAGAGTCTTCGGTAATTGATTGTAGGAATAAATAAACACAAAGAATTGGATTATGGTAACTGTGGCATTTTCGAATCTGTGATAAGATTAGTTATTTACATATTTAACTAATGAAGAAAATCAAAGGAATAAATATATGTCATTCAAATATCTACTTCTAATATCATAGACTATTTTGTACAATTTAATCTGACATGTGCTTAATTTGACATTAAAATTTTGAAAATAAAATAGATAAAATACTCTTCCATTTTTTACACGATAATTAATCTTCATTTTTTATATTTTATAATTATAATATTTATTTTGAATGGGTTCTATTTAACTAAATATTCAAAATTTTATATAAATATATTATTCTGATTTTAATATATATCCTTCATTTTATACTATTAATCAAAAATAAATAAATTTTCAACTATAATAAATTTCTATACTAAATTATTTGTCAGAAGCAAATAATGAGCACAGATGCATTGTGCATTTGAAATAGATAAAATCATAAATGATCATCTGACGGAGGTCATGAACCGTAAGTCAACTTGATAGCAGCAAATCTCATAGCTAAGGCTTTCAACTAAGTATGAACGTGTTAGTAGTCGCTTCCGTAGTGATTGCCATACACACTTCTACATTCCGTTATATGTACACAATATAAATATTGAGTATAATGAATGAAAGAGCGGAAGCAGTGTCAACTTATCAAGACGTTACGTCCTTTACATATTTTATCTATTTTATATATCAGTTGTAAAGTATTAAGTGAATTCATTTACTCACATAGCACATTAGTATATTTTACGATAGTACTTAAACATCTGACATGATGCATGCTACTTTCATAGTCATGCTTTTCAATAAAATATTCAACGCATTACATCTATTAAATATTTATTACTTATTTTTTATTCATTAGGAATTTAAACTATACACAAATGCACTTTAAAGTAGAAATAAAAATTAATCCAAAGTGGAAAGAATAAACTTTTCGAATAAATCGTAGGGTTTCTCTAAATCACAGACTTAATGATTCGGATTTACGGCCACAAACAAAGTCTATACGTCTTTAAGCGATAGAGGATAGTACTTTATTTACAAACACTAATCTACTATACTGGATATTCAATTGAATAAATTAAAAGGAAAAATTTATAAAGCTTGGTTAAAAAGAATTAATTGTTGTAATTATTTATCTGCACGTTTCTATGTGCCATGGCCTTATTTACAATTTTATCGATGCTCCAATGTATTAACTCACCTCTAGAGAATGAGTATGATATGATATTTTTAATGATTGAATAGATCATAAAATGCAGTAATAAAGTCATCATAGTCTATTCTGAAGCAACACTTGAACAATAGACTATAATTATTTCTATTTTTTATAATATTAAAATAATCAATATTAATCATACTATTTTTGGTTTAATTGATATTCATTTCATATCAATGAAAATGTAATAAAATTATTTCTAAACGAATAAAAACTTTTCAATTATCAAATATTTTTTTTTAAAAAAAAAACTGAGAGCTTGTAAAATTTTTTTTTGAAGTATTTAAAATTGGCTTCATTTGAAAAAATTTTAACAAAATGACTTTTTTCTTTATTTAACGTTGGATGTAAAATAAAGAACTAACAAAATCATTCTGCAAAAACGGTAATATGTATTGCTTTTTATTTTTCAATGAACGTGATATTTTTTTATTTTTTAACTACAAACTGACTTAGTTTGAAAAAAATGTAGATAACACAGAAAAATAGAAGTAAAATATTTCACTTCGTTTTCGTTTAGTTACGCTATGAGCTTTAGCTCGCTGTTGAGCTTAAGCTCGTTTGTAGTCGTGAAGCCGGGCACGCTCGCATAAGCTCGAAAGCTTAACTGAACACTACTATTCGAAGAGGGAGAATCAGAGAAAGCAAATAGTATATATTGTTGAATTAGCCAAAGTCGTAAATATTCTTTGAAAAATATGTTAACAATGTGTGTAGAGGATTTTCATAAAAATAATTCAATAGTTTATATACATAACAATTTTTTAAGTATTCTGATCTTTAATTCATCATGAAAAGTAATTTTTTAAAATGAAAACAATAATAGATGATGATGATATAGATCGGTCATAATATAGATGAGTAATCTAATTGACGTAATAATTAATCTTAATTTTGAATGTAATGTTTATTATTAAGAGTTATATATTTATCAAGACAACATGATGTAAGAGTCATCAATAATATTATTGTATGTATTGTTTTTTTTTTGTGCAAATTATCTTAGATGAGTCAATAAAAGCTATGATCTATATTTATTGTTAATATATTAATAGACATCACTACTTTCAATCATAGCTATTTATACTTTTCAGTGTCATAGGTTACTAGAATGCTAATTTATTACAAGAAAAAAAAATAAAATAAATAATCTATGAATGAATTGATAAAAGATCATTAAAAATATTCTGCAAACATAAATAGTGTATACACACATTGTTTCATATGTTCATCAATACTTTATATTATTATTTATTATTTATCCATTAATTTCTTTCATGTAATTTTTAATTATAGATAGAATATAGAAATGTAATAGACATGTTGGAATAAATAATAAAAAATTATTTTCGAAGATAAAGTCATTATAAAAGTGTCGCTAACATACAACAGTCGGGTTCGTCAGTTTTACAAAAGCTCGTCTACGGTGTTAATTGAAATCGTCAAATAATCAAGTAGGCGATGCGTGAATACGACGCCAATCATAAAGCTTTTTCATAGGAGCTACATGGTTTTGCCGACCCAGGGGGTTCCCACATTCACACTCCGTAGGTTCAGACCTTACGTTGCATAACGGTAACAATGAAACGCTTGTCAATTCCAAATACTATTATTAAATGTGCAAAATAAATAAAAATGCAAAAACAAGTTGTTGGAATACTCATTAGATGGACTTTTGTTTTTTTATACTGAAACAGAAAAAAAACAAGTGAAAAAATCATGGCTAAAAAAATTCTAAATTAATTAATGAATAAATAATCAATAAACTTAATTACCAGCAATGTTGGTGTATTGGGTGGTCTTGTCCATCCATGTAAATATCTCTCATCAATATCGTATTTGAAATCAACTTACATGTGTATTTGTATATAACATGTACAGTTACAATAAACATATTATTGAGCGAATTAATTTCATATTTATGATGCGAGAATACTCATTGAACTAACAAATTTTATAACAAACATAGTATCTAGATACTTTGGCTACCAACAAACAACTATCACACTAATAGGACCGATTGTTCAGTTACACAATGAGTAGGATTAACCTGTTGTAATATGACAATTGGAAATATTCTCGTTTTCTATTTCAGAAAACTCCGTTCATACTTAATATTCAATTAGTGAAAAAATTTTTTTTTATTTCAACTGTATAATAAATATTTTCATTATTTTCTTTTAAGTTTACATCATTTGTATGTACTATTCTCTTATCGCTAAAGAAGCGTTGACGCTTTGTTATAGAAAGTTGATTTTTCCAAATCAATAAACGAGTAGATTAATATCTTAAATTAAATATGTGTGTATTACTTACATTTAACAATGCCATTTTTATTGTGGAGATTATTTAAATAATTGGAGGAGAATCATAAGCGTCTGAACATCAAATTTGAAGCGTGTTGTCCGTTATTCTCCGACTGTTTCGCCATCTTGGATAGCTTTGCTTTTTCTTGGAACTTCGGTGCGTTGGAAATTGATACACACAACGCCATCTGCTGGCTTGTAACACAAACGATACGTAAAATATTTTGTTACCATTCAATGGTAACTCTATATTCAAATTTTTTGGCAGGTGGTCTTCAAAGCCTTCTTGAATTGCATTAAATTGTTAATAAAAATAGTTATTTGCAAGTTTTCAGGATAAAAATGTCAAAAACTTTAGATATAATAGTTTTAAAAATATATACTCGTAGAAAGGTAGCAATATACATAAATATGAATAATTTCATAATAAACCTACATGCCAACTTGAGATTGTTTGGTAAACAGAAATTTCAAATGTATAAACTTGAACGGTTAATCTCTGTTTACCAATACGTTTAATTCTCGAACTCTATTCAGTATTTATTATATCATGGTCTTGTCAAGCTTGGATTAACGGTTGCTCAAATACACTTTCAAATACTAGTGAGAAAAGTCTACCGAGTTCTTCTTACTTGCGTTCTCCAGCAAGTGTCCACGTACCATGGAAAACAAAGAAGAATAAACTTCAGATGAGTGTAATTTAAGAATAAAAGTAAGTTTTTTTTTTAATAATAAATAAAATTCTTGATTTACCTGAAAAATCATTATTTCAGGCAGTTAAAACATTGACAACCACTTCCGAAAGTAGGAGTTCATAGTGGGCACTTCATAAATAATATCCAAGAAGGCATCCAAATAAGCTATCGTATGTATCAACTATTTTTTCTGATATTCAATCAAATAATCGTCAAAAATTAAGAAAAGATAAGAGATTGATCAAGAACACGATCTGCCATATCATCATAGTTCCGATAACAAGAAAAATTCAAGTGTCAAAGCTTATAAAATTTGTGTAACAGAAATATTTAACGAAGACCTTTCGAAAAAAATGGACTCGATAAATCAGATATATAGTTTTACATATCAACCAAGTTTTGAGATTACCCAACATCTCATGGAAGTTGGACTTAAAGCTGAGCTTCATCGTAGCATAAATGAAGCTTGTGGTTCTGGTAAATTCGGAATTGAAAGAATAGTACATGAGCAGGAACTCGTTGAACTTACCGGTTTATCATTTATGACATTTGATTATATTGTATCATCTATGCAAAATTACAGAGATACGAGACTGAGTATGCCAAATAAGTTGCTACTAACTTTAATAAAACTCCGAAGAAACGAATCCTTTCATAATCTTCATATTATGTTTGAAATTGATGTAAATACTGTATACGAAATTTTTGTTGAAGTGTTAAATTCTCTTTGGTCTGTATTGCACGGTTTCATTCATTGGCCTACGAGGGAATTAGTAAAGTCTTCATTACCACCAGTATTTGATAAGTATCATCCTAATGCTCGTGTTATTAAGGAGTATATAACCACTAAAATCAAGGACAATCAAGACATATCATTATTTCAAGGCCAAAGCACAGCTAAATTTTTAGTTGGAATTTCACCGACTGGTGTCATTTGCTTTGTCTCGAAGTGTTATGCTGGAACAACAGAGAATTCTTTTGTAACAGAGAATTCTGGTCTACTTGATTTAGTCGATCCAAGAGATGTGATTATATGTACTAAAGAATCGTCTAATCACTGTGACGAAGTACTCGATTATATTGGGACATTAAAACAACGCATAGTGGATTTCAATATTCTCTCAAACGTATCTTCGGATTTACTACCACATATGAATCGCATCGCTTTTGTTGTTTGTGCATTAGTTAATGCACAAACCCTCACCGATTTAAAGATAAAAATGATGCAGTTATAATTCTAAATATTCAACTTATTTTGCATAATAACAAAACAATAGCAACAGTAGTTTGTATGCATTTTTTTAATGTTCTTTATTTATAAAATAGTTATGATATCTTTGTTTTAACTTTTTTATTTAAGCGTAATTAAGTTGGCGTTTCAAAATATTGACGCTTTTTTATAATTTAGCCAAAAATAGAATTAGTATCTCTTTAATTTTGAAACTTAAATATTTGACATATTTGATACTCATGTTTTGACAAGTTTTATATTAATATAATTTTTTACACGAATAAGTTATATGTCACATTAAATTTTTTTTAATTGTAAATCTACGTAAAATATTCTGTCAATGAATTTTCCAAAGTTTTTCCAAATCTTTGTATCATTGTTATAAGATTACAACCCATTAATCTCATCTGATTATCAAACATTTGATAAATAAAAAATATCTTACTGCTTATAATTGTTCTTTTATCATTATTATTTTCCTTATCACTAATGAGGCATTATAAATAACTTATACTAATTATTTAATATTTTTATTCTTCTATCAATTGGTAAATCTTCAGATTTTTCTCTCTTCCTTTTCATTCTTTTATGTCTGGCACCATTGATGTGAGATTTAAACTGCCCTTCGCCGATCAAAACTTTCTCGCAAGTCTGCCAACAGAAATTGAATGATTAATTGAATATTTTTTCTCTTAATTTATGTATGTTATAAATTTCCAAGTTCTCAAGTATCATTAAAAAAAAAATCAATCTCTATATTTATTAATTAAATATCACATCTCTTATTGTCTTTTCCCTATACATTTTTATTTATTCTTTATGATTTTATAAAATTTTATGACCGAATTTATAGTGTTATATAATTATTTTTGAATGAATGATTAATAAACTAGCCTAATCAGAAATGATTAGTAGAATTATGATATTTAATTAGGAATGTTTAAAAATACTATAAAGCATAAAGTACAAAAATACTCAGAGTGAACTTTGGTTGTTAAGTATAAACATATAAATGAATTTTTATGATCAAAACTGTAAATTACAAATAATAAAAAACAATTAAAGTCTGTTGACACAATAATCAAAGATAAGAATGCAAAATATATGAAAAGAAGGTTTATGTTATTTCAAAAAAAAACTTAAATTAAAATTTCGCTGACCTTAATAATTTATATAATACTTTTACAATTAATAAATCCATTTTATATCAAAAATTAAATTAATAAAATAGTAGAAACTTCAACTGATAAAAGTTTTTTTATCTTCAAAGTAAAACATAAAAATAAATAAAATTTTACCTCACACCAATGTGTAACTTCATTACTACTATCAGTAGATTTCCAACATTGAACATCTTCATTAAGAGATTTTTGAATTGGTGCGTCACCTTTTATGTTTGCATCTATAATTGCCATAGCCGGTTCAAGCACTTTGGAATTCCATTCTTCAACATTCGTGCAATCTAAACTGTAGATTGGCGGCAACTTTTAAGAGACAATATTCAAATTTTACTATCATCATTATGGATAAAAATCATACATTCAATATTTATAAGTTGCATAATAAATTATATTGCTTATGAAATTAATATTCATATACCTGTCTATCCCGTCTTTTTAAAAATCGATTCATGATCCATCTTATCTGTCTTTTAGCATATCTTTTTGTCACTAATTTGAGATCGTTGATTCCTTGTTTTAAAAGATCTTCTCCCTGTAAAGTACATATTTTTAAATCAACTTGTTGATTTTTTTTAAATACATAAAAGTGTAATATATTTAACTGATTTAATTTTCTTTATTTTCCAATGAATCGTCAGGAACAAGTTGAGTAATCAATAATGACAAAAAGAAGTAGAAAAGTCAATTACATATTTAGTTTCAACACATGATGCACTATAACTGATATTGCATTTTAACATGCAATGTTTTCTGAGAAAAAAAAATTATTTTTTTCAATCAAATTTGTTTATCGATTGACATTATAATGTTTTAGGTCATTTTTGAATAACATTTAATTATTTCTTTCACTTCAAATAATTTGGAAGTTAATAACTTTCTATAATTATAACAATATTATCATAAATTATATTGATAAATGAATAATTTGCGAGAAATTTAATAGTAAAATCAAGAACTTTAAATTTCATTTTATCATGCATTCATCTTCGGACAAAAACTAGTAAAATTTATTACATCATATCAATTGCGCAATGATTAGTTAATGAATAAAACATATGAAGGATGTTCAGCAAAATATACCCAGCACAAATAAGAATAAAAAAAAGTTTAATTAATTTCAAGTTCATTGATGCAATCATCGATCTTGTTGAATTTATAGAAGGTAGAGAAATAATGTAAATTTGTTATATTGTAATCAAGTATTGAGAAAAGATCTGATAGGATAGTGAATATAGTAACTTATTGGAAAACTTTTATATACCTTTTTGCTATTTCTCTCATCCTTCGGTAAAATCAAATAATTGTGAAACTCTTTGAATCCAATTGATTGAAAGATACCTTTCGTATAATCGGGTAACCTGAAACGTAAACATTTATGATATTACTGATCAATTCATCTTAAGTTCTAGTTAAGTCTAACTGTTTCAAGACAATTTTCTCTTGCAATACTATCAAGAATTGTAAACAATTTATTTTCGTTTCAATAAATCTCAGATAATTAAATACATAAATAAGTAGTCTCATTAATAAATCTACAGTTATTTATAATTAATTGTTCTTTTCAAAAATTAGAACAGGAACTCTTTGATACTCTTTAATGGATGTATTTAAATAATATTTCAAGCTAGTGGTAATTTTAAACTTGTGTAAAACAAAATTATCAATAAATTCTTTGAATTACATATTCTGTGAGTTATTAAATTGATTAATATGTGATGTTAAAATGAAGCAAATTTAATATGAAAATATTAATAAAAATAAATATCTGAAAACTTCCATCATTATCGTTTCACCTGTTTATTATACAATTTTTCTTATCAACCAGTTTTATTTTCTCAACCGGTTTGGTTGATAACTACTAGTCAAACGTAGGCTCGTTGCATGCATAGTGTTAAAAGGCTTCATAAGCTATAGATAGGGAGAGAAAAATTCATGAAGGAATAGGAAATAAAAGCCCGCAAGGGAAAGAGAAAGAAGAAAGCGGAGAAAATCATATAACTGGTATAGTATTACTTGGTTTGTATGCTATCACTTGTTTTATAGCATGCCATAAGTACATGAATAGTTTGTTTTTATGACAATGAAAATGGTATTTAATGCAATAAATACATATAAATAAAATAAAATTATAGATCGTACTGAACATGATAGTTTAAGGAAAAACTTTTTTTTTTATAATTAAACTTGTTCTATAATCTATAGCTCACAATATAACAAAAATTATACTGTTCCAATGATAAATAATACTAATTAAATATAATTACTGAGTCAATATATACAGGTAATGTATTTAAAGATTTGTGATGCATTTTATACAGTATACAGATATAGTTAAAATTTTATAAATTTATCGATAAAGCATGGAAAACTTCTGTCGCCATGTTAACTATTCTGACTGAATAATCACTGATGAGATCTGGTAGATAATAATAAAACTGTCGCATTATTATCAAATTCATTTTCCACTGTACTATAAAATATTTTAATCCATATTAATATCATCATGATTGAAATACTGTCAAGTACATGGACATTTGTGTCAATCTCTTCATTCATATATGTCATTGACGTCATGGAAATAATAGATGCAGATTTTTATTGCTATTTGGGATAGTAATTCTAAAAATACTTTCAATATCTCATAAGCAATAAAAGCCGGAAATAGAAAAAAAACGTTACTTGTTCTAATTCTGAATTTCACCATTTTCATGATACTGCAAATAGAATTGTTGTATGTATCAATTGCTATCATTTATCAAAAGCGAATGGGCAAGTTTCAATGTGCTACAAAAGTATTACATAAAGTGAAAGTAAAATATGTGATCTCTTCAGAATATAGAGATTTATACAAGTATATAATAATCAAAAGTCCAAATGTCTTTAAGGTCATCGACAGAAATGGTTAAATTTTTTTTATGTTAAGATAAGACACGTGGAGACTAGATCAGATGATTTTGACGTCAGATACCCTGATTACTTATCATATTTCGTATTTTTCCAATGTCTACCCCCCACTGGGATTTTTGCAGTCTCTTCTTTCCTAACTAACAACCTGTCTATCAATCTTTCTTTGCTATTTTACCTACTGAAAAGACCATTTTTTTAATTAAGTCTACTCCTGATGTAGCTATTCATTAGGTTAGGTCTGCAGTTAACAATTTCTTTATCCTAAACTACATTCAATTTCTACCATAAAGCAGAAATACTGTAATAAGAAACCTGTATCAATAGACTCTTCCTCAAAATTGTTGTAAAGATTCTTCCTATCAACAATTGGAACCCGTGACTGGCTAGGTGCTAAACTAACACACTAACCAATCAACCACTGAAGCATTTTTTTCCTGATTACTTATCGAAGATGATGAATTATGATACAAATAGCCTAAATCAATTATCTTGGAGTCAATCTAGAAATTAGATTAACTATTATTGTCGAATAATTCTTATTGAAGTTGGCTATTACATTTTATATTTTTCTATATTTATTGTTATATACTGGCTTTTAATTAAATATTATTTACTTTTCTCCCGTGTAAATGAATCATTATCATTACACTAACCAATTTGTTGATTGCAATAAGTAATTGATGCACCATCAATTTTGATTAAAAATAATCAATTGTTTTATTGTTTCAAGATGATTTTAAAATTTAGTAAGTGATTAAAATTCATATTTATTAACTCTTAATTGACATCCAAATTTTTCTTATCTCCCAAGTGATAAAAAGTAAATATTGATAGATGAATGTTACAGTTAATTTGCATAGTAACATACATTTTATCAGTTTATTAAAAATATTACGGTCGAATTTTGAATAAGTCATTTGATTTCATTACTAATCAATTTTAATCAGCTGTCTATCTAGATGTAATATATAAATTGGAGATAAACAATGAGAAAAAATTGAAACAAGACTGTAATAATGAAATATGTTATAGAATTTACCTGAAATTATTTTAAATTACGAAAATAACTGATTTCAAGATTAAAAAATGAAAAATAGTTGTTAATAGAATGACAATTGATTTAAATATTCTATTTAAATGACATTTAAATGAAACATCAATATATTCAGTTTTTAGAAAAATAGTCAAATAATGATTCTGTATTTACTTTATCATTCAAACGACTATACAGACAAGTAAATTTAATGAATTAACGTTTGCACGTAATACACAAAATATATATTAACATTAACTTGAGCCTATCGCATGTCTTGATAGCAGTTCTCGTAAAATGTATGATAATTATTATTTATAATTATATCCACACTTCTGGTCAAACCGTCTCCACAGGACATTTAAACGAAGGACAAGATCAGTTGCAAAATGCACTTAATATTCATTCTTTTTCCCTTTATTTTATCTTGTTGTCTCATCGTCCGTTTTTCTGTTAGAGTTGTCGCATCGTGAGATATACAAAAAAGGTATTTGATGAAGTCTGGCTCAAGTGGGTGTGTCCCCCAACCATAAAATACGAAAAAAGGAAATAATTCCTTGAGAAGCAAAATCAACAAGATACGCGTCTGGCATAGCGCCCCAGTCTTTTTTCAGACAGATAATTTAGCATCTCTTTACTTATAGTATTTAATGTCTTTTAACATTTTCTTCCAATATTTCACAATTCATTTCTTTAAGCTGAAAAATCTTTGTCAATTTATATTATTTAATAATAATTAATCATCTCCATGGTAACTTTTAGTAATTCATGAATTTAATTTACATAAATATTATTATAAATTATGATTACATAATTTTATGCGAAAAAAAGGAAAAAAGTTTGTGTATTTGAAAGTCTCGATTTTTTATTTCCAAAGATTAAAAAAATGAAGCAAACTTTATTACATTTACAACAGCTAGTTCTAAGAGGAACAATCCTTCTGTCGGTATTATTTGACTTAAAATGCAATTATCATAATTCGGGGAATATTGGTCTTTATCTTTTATTTTATCATTTATAAAAATTTCTATGAAAAATACTAAACTTGTATCATAAACTAATAATACTATCTTTTATTGAAAACTATTATTTTAAATTAATAATGTAAATAAGTGATGCTGCTAGAGTAATGTACAGGAACATAATGATAAAAAATATTGTCATAAATAAATAAATTATTTGATTTAAAATATTGATAATAAAAGAAGTTACGAAATGTTTGTATTAAATTTTAACTTTTGGAGTATATTTCACAGACTAAGCTAAATATTGAAAATAGATAATACATTTAAAATAAAAAATAAAATTTTTGTCTGAACACTTAATATTTAGCATAAAATAATTCATCAAATTTAATAAATAATTCGTATTCAAATTGCTCAAATCTCAATGTATAAATCAATGGTTAAATAAAAACCACATGTTTCAAATTCGCATGCTAAAATGAAGATGTCAATGAACTTTCAATATTGAAATGGAGATTGTTTCAGAATAATTACAGCCTAACAGATAACAAACAATTATTAGTCAAATTAGAAAAAAATTATCACTCTTTCATTATAATTATCTTTTTTTTATCCTTTATAAGGAATAAACTCTTAAATATTCAAACTGATGTCATTCCAACATAAGTTAAAAATTTTTTAAGATTAGTCGTTTATTACGCAACACCCTAGACATATCATTCTTACACGTGTCGTTTGGATAAAATATATATGTCATTTAAAGCAATTGTCATATCACCGATAAAACTTAATAAAATAATACTCAACAGTCAATCCTTAATCTCAAATCTGATTCAGTGTTATACTTCTGAGTATCGACATTATAACATTTGATAATTTACTAAAATATTTTGCACGAAATTAATTATTATCATTTTGATCAAGCTATTTGATAAGTTTATAACTGATTTAATCACCAAAAGAATGATCTACTCGACTTGAAACAATTCACAGTTAAGATTTGACTTAATTTATAATAATTATATTGAATATCCAAGTAACTTGACTTCATCATCAACTGATGTTTACAAATCTTTACGATTAAGAGACTAGGCATGCATAATTTCCGGAAGCTATCCAATAGACGCAAATCACGTGTGAGACCGGAGATTTACGAACGTGAATTCAAAGAAAACCGGAATGCGATTGTGTGGTCTGCGTACGTACTGATGTTGATACGTGCACACGTTATGATGCTTCATTGTTGGTATATGAAATTACAGTCCATCATAAAAGATTCAATAATCCAACAAACGAATTTTGATTTCTTCATGTATGAGTAGAATTGGAAAAATCATTTCTTATTGTGAATTCTACAGACATCATGATGGATTTAATCATATATTCACTTAATTATTTGAGATAAAATTTTAGTAAAATTACTTACGAATTTTCGTTAATCCTTTGTTCATTATATCGCTCATGAAAGTCCAAGAGCTCCTGCACTAAGCCAGCTTCCACCATCGAATCTACTCTTCGATCTAATCTTTCATTCAGTACTTCCTGTAAAAAATATCAGCATGTTATTAAAAGAAAAAAAGTGTGAAGATTATTTTTTATTTATTATTAAAATTAATAGTAAATTTATTTTAAATATTTTTACACAACTTCTTCATTGTTTAATTTAATTTAATTAAAAAGTAATTATTTATAAATGAGGCTCCAATTTCAGTAGTAATTTTTTTTTCATTTTGAATAATTATAAATAGTTACTACTTGAAGATAATTATGTAGTAATACATAAGCAATTTAAAAGATAATTGTACAAGAATTTTTATATTTATTTATTATTTTTTATCTGCTAATAACAATCTCAGATAAAAGGTGACAAATCAATAAAATATTAATGCCACTGATTGATCAATTAAAAAATGTTTTGAGATTTAAAAAAAATGACTAAATATTTAAAAATAATTTCTTTGTCGTCAAAAAATTTCACGAATAATTAAGAAAGCCAATTGAAATTTAAATGATTTCCATTTTTAACATTTTTACCCTTATTTTTGATTTTACTTTTTTGTTTTATCTGTTTCTTCTGCTATATATATATTCAGAAGAATCTCTTTCAAGTAGTCAGGCGTGTCTGGGACTTTTTCTCACGTCCATTTATCCATGTGAATACGTGACCTCCTCAACTCGTTCAACAAATACCACTTTATAGGATATTTAAAGAATACAATGTAATATAGTAACCGAAAGATACACATCTTTATCGTCATTCATAATTGAGATTCATTCTTCTCAGTATTTTTTCCTTTACGTTTACTTTTTTCTCATTCACTTTCAATTGAGATACTTTATTTCACGATAATTCACAGATATTTGGTCCAATAATTATCAAATAAATCATAATAATCTTCAAATAAGACCAATGAGATTGGATTTATACCTGACAATATTTATCAGAACTTATTAAGTCTAATTGGCTGGTAGAATAATTCCAAGTATTTGTTAAATATTTGTTTTTATTCATTTTGACTTTTTGACATAATGAAATCGGTCTTTTTCTATGATATTTTGACCAAACATTCTAATGGTTTATTTTAACAACTGTTTGATGTTCTATTTCATACCAACGTCTCTATACGCATTACATGAGCACCTAAAATGAGGCCAAGGTTTTTAGAGACACGTGCGTTTAGTAGTTTTACGCCACTACCTTACCCCAAGTGAATTTTTTTGAATACTCTTTGTTACAAGTATGTTGATGGAAATGGTAAAAGAGAAAATTTTGTTCCAATACTTTGTTCAAGATTAAAACATCTTTTCTTGTCAAATTAAAAGAACGCATTAAGTTAAATTTTCTTTCAAAAGCTTATAACTCAATTCCAATTACTGTGGGAAAATTTTGGAGATAAATTTGATGGAAGGGAGAAATATAGTTTGAATGTTTGACTTATTTTATACGAATTGAGTTTAAAGTTCACGAGCTTCTAGTAATGCAGCAAAAAATAAGGGGTTCTTGTTTCCCTAGTTTTTTTATTCATTACAGAGCGATGGGAAATACGAAAAAAGTAATTTCCGGATAATTTTTTTAAAAACACTGATGATAATTTTTTTGATAATAATTCATTACTTAATTTAGTAATTTTAATAATAATATTTTTGATTTTGATATTGAAAACTCGATTTTAATTCTTTTAAATTTATTCATTCAAACAACATTAACATTTAATTTTTTTTCAGCATTCGAAAGTTAAAAAAAAAAATACTTAATAATTAAATTGGACAAAACTATTTTACATAACTTCCATATGCAGTTCATGAATGATTTTTGTCAACAATACCAAGAAAAAATTCATTTTTGCATAGAAGAGAAAACTTGGTTAATTTTGTGTATGAAAATTCTAGACACATAATTATTGTTAAGAGAATGTAAAAAGTGAGAAGCATGAAAATGATCTCATCTTGTTATTATTCATGAATTACAACAAAGTGAATATAAGCATATGAGTATTGACTGGCCAAAATATATTTAAACATCAAACAGGATAATTCAGATGACAATATGTCATGTTGTGCATCTATAAATAAAAAATTAGCCATTTAAATGTCATTAATAAGTTCTATATTTTTTTTGTCACTATATATAGATATATTCATTTAACTAAATATGCTACAGACAAATCCATGACCGTGTAAATTTTTTTTATATACGTAACACGTCGCCGTGTGCCGGTGAAACGTCGGTAGAAATCAATGTGTCTGTCTGAAGGCCGAAGGAGAGAAGATTCCTAGAGAAGTTCTTTGTTTGCGAACGAGTTGTGATTACTGGGAACCAAATTTGATCTTTTTCTCGCCCGTTTCACCAAACTGATAAGCTGTCTATATAATTGGTTGAAAGCTAAAATCACTTTATATTGATATTACTTAAACCCGGTTTAAGATACTCATTTTGAATCAATCACTATGTAGCAGTGATATCAAGATAAAAAGATTTTTGGAGCAGAAAACTTTTTAAAAAAATCTCAGATTCATCTCTTGAGATATTCTATTATGATATGAATATTTTCTGATTGTAAAACATTTGTTGCAATGTTCATTAAAATAAAATTAATTTATTCGAGCAAACAGGAAGTGTAAGAAAATATAAAAAAAGAAAAAGACCATGTGAACAGATGGATGGAAAGAGTTCAATAATTAATATAAAGAATAATATTCTAATGATCATCAGCATATAAATCTTCGATATAATTTTTTAATATTTTCAATATTGTTTATTCACATGTCAATCGTTATTTTATAACACGCAGTTTACTATAATAAACCTTTTCGAAACAATTTTATTTAACGACGTATTTTCCAACTATCGATCAGTCTCACATTTCACAACTCAGTAAATAAAATTATTGGAAAACTATATATAAAATGACAACGTTAGTCACGAGAAAGCCTGTTGAACATAATTTATAAGTATAAAGATGAGCTACTAGTCAGACAATAGTACCAGTATGTAAACCACAAAGTCGAATGGTTCAAATTTCAAAGAAAATACTTGAAACATCACAAACCCTAGAGATGATTTAATTTATCCAACTTATTCTCTTTGCTCTTTGTTGATTCCAGCAAATCGTTTCTTGTTAGTGTGTTTTGCGTCTGCTTGATTCATCTTTTTCTCCTTGCCTCGATAAGTTCAAGCTGCGGGAGTCGCATTGCCGGAAATACCGTGCATGCCGAGAAATAAAACCACTGTCTTGGTCCGGACCGCGTGCGAAATTCAAATGAAAGAAAAAATCCCCTTGTCGAATCAACTTACGAGCAACCAATGTTTTGATATATCGGTTTAATTATATTTTCAACTACGACACTTGGAGGACATAAATATACCCTGTTAATTTATGCTAACGATTTAGATTTCCATTTTAAGCACTGCATCGTAAAAAGGTAAATTATCATAACAAAAAAATGCTTGGAAAATTATTTTCTAATTTAATGCAATCATGATATGTATTTAATTAATATTTTGCAAATTATTTAATTGAAGATAAGAAGTTGAATGAAATTTAAAACAAACGATAGGACGGTTAGACAATTAATAAGTATTCTGGTAAAATATTGATTACATCGATTTGTAAACAATTATGTTGGAAGTCATTAAATGCAGCAGTACTAATTGTTGCAATCCGATATCTTGAGGGGATTTATTATTAACTTCCAAGCATTCTTGGGTTCGACGAAACATTCCCCCAGCATATCTCTATTCCCCTTGTTAAAGTCTATCGTCTGTAGACTCCAAAGGCATTTCTAATTATAACGGCGCCTCGCCGAATTATCACTATGTTTCCACGAGCGACTGCCCAGTCTACAAAGAAAACCTCGTAGACTCTTTCACTCATATCATATGTCATATATTTTGACGTTGAAACCAGAAATGCCGAATACTGCCATACTGTCATTGGTGTTACATTTTTTTCTGTTTAAGTGCAAAGGAAGTATTATTCAAGAAAATAGATTACTTTAGTAAAAAAAATTAGAAAATGCTTTTTAATTAATTTCTTTCTATTGATGCGATTCCTGTTTATCAATTTTTCCATTTATTAATGCATTGAAACTTATTAACATTTATTTATTTATTTATGTTGGTTTTTCCGTGTTCCACTTTATTCCTCTTTCCTCCACTAATTTTCTTAGAAGTCATTTGAATAATTTTGATGAAAATGACACTTGTTTTCGTGTTTAACAATCAACCTGTTAGAATTTTATCCTTGAAAAATTTATTTTTATGAGATATTAGGTATTTATTACACTTTTAGTTTTTAAAAATTATAATAAATGATTCTATTAATTAAAATTAAATTTGACTAATTTAAAACCATTAAGAGTTATATTTTATCGAATAAATAAATTTTTTTATTCAATATAAATTCATCAGTGAATTATTTTTTTTTTTGAAAAAATATACTATGACAGTTGAATTTAGCATTTTCTTATTTTATTTGTATTTTAAAATAAATTTAAATATTTAATTTATTAAATATCTTAGTGACTAATTAACATTTTTTTATAATCTTCAATTATTTTTAATTATGTAAATTATTTACATAATAAATTTTATTAAAAAATGAAAGAAGAAGAAAAAGAATAATGAATGTAACACAATACATTTTTATTCACAAATTCTGGACTGAATATTGGGTCTAATCAGTGGTTGACCTCGAAAAAGTAACAGAAAGAAAAATTGGCGACGAGCTGAGGATAAATTATTTATTTATTGTATAAAGAGACAGCAAAATTACTAAGCTATCAAGATTCTAGAATATCTTAGAAGGGAACATAAAAACCGTTTAGATTTTTATTCCAGATTCTTGACCTATTGCCAACAGGCAAGGCATCATGTCTACGCTATAATATGAACACATAAAAGTAGTTAGAGACCGCAAGCGACAACAAATGCTGGGGCAGGGGAGAAAAGTCCAGAACAAGAGCCAGCCTCAAGACAGGAAGTGACGACACCCATGGGATAACTGGTCTCTGCAGATATACCATAATGTCAGCAGCTGTTG